CATCCATAAGTGTCTAACATATTAAGTTTTTACATTCAAATAAAAAAACAAACATTTTTTTAATTTTTTTCTTTATTTTTATTTTTCCATATTTATTCATAAAAATCCATAGATCTACACATACAATCAAAAAAATTGTGATTTTTGACATGGAAAATGTAGATCAGCTAAGTTTAGAGCACTTCCAAGCATTCAAATAAGAAAGAAACAACAAATCAAAGAGATTAAATGAAAAAAATTGCAAAGCTCACCTATTTTTGCAATATTTTCCAAAACTTCAAAAATTTTCCCAAATCTTTAAGTTTGATGCATTTTTTATTTTCTTTTTTTTTTGTAGATCTAGCAGTCTAGGCAAGTATGTGAGAGGTTTGGAGTGGTTTGGGAGGGAGAGAAGGCTTTTTTCGGGAGAAAGAAGCCTTCTTTCTCCTGTTCGAACATTTTAACTTCCAATTGTATCATTTTGGGGACGTATCGGGGGCGTATCGACCGATACGCAACAGCCGATAAGGTATCGTATTGTGTCGGTATGGTACCAATACAGAAGAATAGATACGCAACACCCGATTTAGTTGTGTATCCCATATCTTCCATTAAAAGATACGATCCGATACGCCCCGTATTGGGCGTATCGTATCGAAATTTTAAACCTTGGTTATATATACTAGGGAAATTTTCCAACTAGTACGTACCATGTACTTTGGGTCTAGTGCCACTTTTGTCTTTGAACTTTAAAATGTGACAATTCAATACTCGAACTTTCAAAATGTGTCAATCCAGTACCTACCGTTAACCATCTGTTAAGTAGTCGTAAAGTGGCATTTGAAAAAGACGCAAATACCCTTTGAGTGTCATCTAATTTTCTTTATCAACCATTCAAACATTGACAAAAAATTAATAGTCCTAAATCCTTGCCTCTTTTATTCAAGAAAGTTGGGGTCTAGAAGAAACAAGAATTTGACATTGTTAATTTTTTGTCAGTGTTTGGATGGTTGATAAAGAAAATTAGATGACACTCAAAGGGCATTTATGTCTTTTTCAAATGCCACTTAACGGTTGGTTAACAGATGGCTAACGGTAGGTACTGGATTGACACGTTTTGAAAGTTTGAGTACTGAATTGTCGCATTTTAAAGTTCAATGACCAAAGTGGCACTAGGCCCAAAGTACAGGGTACTAATCGGGAATTTTCCCTATATAATAATTATGTGCCCCAAATGTTGGGAAACATGCTGGATGACTGTAACATTTCTGCAACATGATCTTTACTCAAAGAATGTTTCATACTTCATTGCATGGAAGTATGTGACTTCAGGAGGTTTCTTGCTCTCAAACATGTATGGAGGGACTCTAGGTAGGGGTGTCCACGAAAAATTGGAAAACCAAAACGAATTGAGAAAACCAAACAAGAAAATGTGGTTAACCGAACCGATCAGTATATATTTATAAATTATATGTATATTTTATATATATTATAGATAAATATATATTCATTATATATATAAATATGTACATATATTATATTTATAATAATCTATTTATAAATATATTATATATCATTTATTATTTATAATATAATATTATGCATATACTTATATAATAAATATAAAAAACTGAAAGCAGTGGACCGATTCGGCTTTGGTTTGGAGAAATGGAAAAAATGGTGGTACTGGTTCGGTTTGCAAAAATGGCCCATGGTTCGATTAACCGAACTGTGGACACCCCTAACTCTAGGGACATTGGAAAGTGAGTGAGGAGGCTTTGGGACGTAAGGGGGTGTTTTCTAGGCTAATGGGGGTAGAGCTCTCTCCCTAAGCTTAGAGGTGTAAAGTGGGCCATGTCGGGTCAGCACAACATGGCCCGTACTTTTTGCAGACCCTGGCCCGATCCCTAAGCTTTGTGCGGGCCGTGCCGCCCTCCTCAGTGAAAATTTTGGGGGTCGGCCTAGCATGGCCCACGGCCCAAGCCCGCATGGGCCCGTGCCATGTAATGTCGTGATGCAGGCCGGGCTGGCCCGTAGGCCAAGCCTTGGCCCAAGTTGGGCCATGGACCAGGCCAAAGCTATTTTTGCCTAATAACTAGAATATATCCGGTGCTTACTGAGCTCTAATAGAATATTGATAAAAAAAAACTATTTTTGCCTATTTATTTAAAAATTTGAAACAAACTTAAAATTTTAATTTTATATGAATTTTGATGTATACAATTGCTTATATATACAATAATTAAATAAATTAGTATAATAAAATTGAAAAAAAATGTTTATTTTATTAATATATTATATACTATATACTATTATATAACATATTATATATATATATATATATAAAATATATAAATATTATGTATATATAAATATATATATATAATAATATATATATATATATATAAATAGTATATATGGGCCATGTTGGGTCGTACCGGGTCGGGCCACAGGACATCAAACCCCAGGCCCAACATGGCACGGACCATTGTGCCGGGCCTAGCACGACCCGTGGGCTATCGTGTCGTGCTAGGCAGCCCAGCCCGATTTACACCTTTACCTAAGTTAGATTGTGTGTCTTGAGTGTTAGAAAAGCGGGGGAGGGTATTTATAGATTTTTAAGAAGGGTTCTAGAAGGAAATAGAGGGCTGAGATAGAAAGCCTAGGAAGATGAATGGTTAAGGTTTAAAGGGTTTTTGGAGGGAGATTGATTGAGAAAATGGGTTGTCAAGGCAACTCTAGGAGAGATTCTCTCTATCAATCAAGACAATAAGTGGAAGACTTCATCAATTTACCTAAATTGGACATTCCAAGTTTAGGTGATTAGTTTGATTGATTGGAGAATTGGAGGGTCCTAACTGGTCAAATCTTAGATTTTAAGATGGTTTTAGAGGCTGGGAGAAAGTTCTGGTCGTGGGATGCCCTAGGTTTGAAGTTATTGTGAAGATGATTCCAAATGGAGGGCCCCAGATTGAATCTAGTTTGGGTCTCAAGATGGAGAGGTTAACGGTGTCGGAATTGGACGGTCTTGATACTGTTGGACTCGGAATTTCGAGATCTATCCACCTACAAGGTTGGATTTCAGATTTCATATGGAATAGGATTCATGATAAAAAATGATCTCGATCGAACGATTGAAATCAGTTCCGACTTCGGGTCTTGAGATGAAGGGATAAACGGTGTCGGATTTGGGTGCTCTTAGTGTCACCGGATTTGGATTTTTGGGATCTACATACCTATGATTTTGGATTTCTTATTTGACATGAAATGAGGTTCAGGATCAAAATAACCCCGATCGGACGATCGGAATCGGTTTCGGCTTCGAGTATTAAGATGAAGGAGTAAATGGTGTTGAATTTGGGTGATCTTGGTGTCATCAAATTTGGGTTTTGGTGTCGTTGGATTTAGATTTTAGGGATCTACGTACCAATGGTTTTGGATTTCTGATTTGATGAGAAATGAGGTTCATGATCAAAATGACCTTGATCGGACGACTAGAATTGATTCCGACTTCAGGTGTTAAGATAAAGGGGTAAATGGTGTCGAACTCGGGTGATCTTGGTGTCATTGGATTTGGATTTTTGAGCTCTACATACCTATGGTTATGGATTTCTAATTTTACATGAAATGAGGTTCATGATCAAAATGACTCTGATCGAATGATCAGAATCGGTTCCGGCTTTAGGTGTTAAGATGAAGGGGTAAACGGTGTCGAACTCGAGTGATCTTAGTGTCGTTGGATTTGTATTTTTGGGCTCTATGTACCTATGGTATCGGATTTATGATTTGATGTGAAATGAGGTTCATGATCAAAATAATTCCAATCAGACGATTGAAATCGATTTTGGCTTCGAGTCTTAGGATGAAGGGGTAAATGGTGTTGGATTTGTGTTATCTTTGTGTTATTGGGTTTGGGTTATCTTTGTGTTATTAGATTTGGATTTTTGTCTCTACGTACTTATGGTGTTGGATTTTTGAAATTCAAACTTTTGTGAAATTCCAAAAGTATCCCAAATTAGTTAAGAGATTAGTCGAAGCATGCTTGAAGCTCAAAATGTTACAAAAAGACTGAAGAACACAAAAATAGGGAGTGACGCCACTTATTTATACTTAAACCTGCCTCGAATTTGTTATGACGACTAGGATGCGATCCGGCCTGTGCCACGTGTTGCCATCCTGGGCCTACCATGTGCACCTATGTCATTGGGGTTGCCATGTGTGCCTACATCATTGTCTTTATCGTAGCTAGGGTGGATTCTAGACGAGCATAGCTTAGTCGAATATTTGGCTATTTGAGCTCAACCTTGAGCTCAGTTCGGATTAGAGAGTTGAGCTTGAATTTGACTCGACTTAAACGCTCGTAAGCTTGAGCTCAACTATGAGCCAAACTTCTTATAAAATTATAAATTATAAATATAAAAAAATATTTTTCTTTTACATATAAAAAATTTAAGAATTATAAAAATTAGTTATTATTATACATATAAAAACTAAAAGCATTATATGTATATTAGGCTCAAGTTCCATTCTAAACTCGATTTAAATTGAGCGGAATAGAACTTTTCATGAGCCGAGTTCAAATTGCTCGTGAAAGACTTGATTCGTTTCCACCTCTGATCATTTGAGCTATTTCAGTAACTTCAATGAAAAAGACAATGAATAGTACCATAAAAAGGGTAAAATAAATTAGAAAAAAAAAATAGTTTGAGCATTCAAAAAACTTTAAACACTCGGATAAGAATTTTTTCGAAGTTAAATGATTGAACACTAATGGAGGGGTCTTTGTCTAATGGCGTACAGGGGTCTTTGTCACTGACCCTATAGCATCAGGGGTGCTTGTATAATTTACCCTAAAAAAAGTTGAAAGTATTGTTAGAAACGAAAATCCGAGATTTATATGATCGGATCGGGTTCAGGTATACCTCAATCCGAATCCGCATCCGATCCGATCTGTTCGCATCCCTGATGGAGAGTTGGAGACGGTAACTTGCTCGTAATTGTAATTGACGAGAACGCTGGACCATTAACCGGATCACTATTCAAAGGCTTTATCCACTCAAACATCAGGCTCAACTGCTCAAGTACAGCAGCGGGAAATGGCGTTTCCTCTCGGTGCTCCCACAACACTCTCAATTCCAAAAGGCGGAGATGCGATTTATGTTGCAGCAATTCCTCTGAGGGCTGCGAAGGGCCCTGCCCAGATGTTAATGTCAGCGGCTTACTCTCTCAATATGTGGGATTTACAACATTATATGGTCATCATCAGCACAACTCCACCTCCTCAGGTTCAGTTTCAGCTTCTCAAAATTGCACTTCGTGGACTTCCTCCATTTTCCCCTGTTCCTGGAACCCTACGTGCTTAATAGTTTCGCTCTCAACCTATCATCCCAAATTCTGCTGAGATGCTTTTTCTTTTTGCTTGTTTTTATTTTGACGGGATTATCCTAGTATTGTTAAATGAGCTGCTTTTTCCTCTTCTCTTCTCATATTATATTTTCTATATAATTTTCTTCGTATTGTTTGACGGGATTTTTCTTGGATACAATTAACTTGTGTAATGCATTTTTGTCCAGTCTACCCCGCGTCATACGTAGAGTCCAATCAGCCCCGGTTGCGGTTTGGTCTATATTGTACAATTTAGAGCTTTTGGATGGGGATGGCAGTAACTGAGCAATTCGATTTGTCACACCGATTTGGTGGGTTTCTTAGTTGTCTTTCTTTGATTAGAGTGTTTTCAACGGTTTTTTCCCTATGAAAAAAAAAAATCTAGTAGAACCCAGACCAAGAAATGCTGAGTTACATGTGACTCTGATTAGAGCTTTAAATGGTTGACTTATCATTCTGGAACTTCTAGTATAGCTCCCCCTCGTCATTGTATCCTGGTGACACTTTGAGTAGATCTGAAATTCATTACCTGCAAAACCTTTGTCAGTGTGCTGGAAGAGTTACTGGTTATGCTTGTTCGTAGTCACTGTATTGCAGTTCGATATTCATAACAATGAACTGAACTTTTTTCCTGATGAACCTTAATTTGAGGTTTTTTACAATTCTCCCATTTTTTTCTTTGTATAATTGTTGATGTTTTAGTTTAGTGGTAAAAGATGGGAATTTTCTTTTACTTGTAGGCATTTGTTTTTGATTTCCAACCTCAAGATCCTGAGAATATGTATGTAGCGCTTGCAGCTCTATCTAGTAGAGGAGTGCCAGGTAAACTTATTATTTTGCTTCTGACCTTTTTTGTGGTATTAAACTGCAAAAAAATTTATCAGTTGATCAGTGTGTTGCAGGCAAGGATGTTTATGCCACTAGATACAGTTGATTTTCTCCTTTCTTGAAAAGCTTAAGGAATCAATGCAACTATTTTTTTTTCACGCAAAGATTTGCCACTAGATACAGTTGATTTTCTCTTTTTTTGAAAAGCTAAGGAATCGATGCAACTAAATTTTTTGCAGGAAAAGATGATTATTGCCACTAGATACAGTTGGTTTTCTCTTTTTGGAAAAAACTTAGGCTGTATTTGGTTTGAAGGAAAAGGTAGGGAAGCCTATACAAGTTCTCTTCAAACCAAACACAGCCTTAAGGAATCAATGCAACTAAAATTTTAGATACTGAACTTGGATTTAAACTGTGGTTGGCTTTTGTTTTGGATATGTAGAGTATTGACCTCCAGTTGGATTATGGAAATCTCAGAAACATTCAACCTATTTCTGTCAGATTGTATATGTAACAGTTCAATGAGATACCTCTCATGAGTTGATCATTGAAGGTGACTCTAAAGTGGTAACTGGGTGGCTAAAAGAACCGGGGACAGTAGCTTGGTCTTTTAGGGGAGAGATGAGGAGATTCAAGTGGCTTACTTCTAAACTCACAGTGAGAGTTCAGTGGGAGAGGAGGTCGGCAAATGGGCTGGCTGACCTACTAGCTAAGCAAGGGGTGAACAGGGATCACTTATTCTGGGCTCAATTGTAATTTTACTTCGTTTTTTAAGGCAGCAACTTGCGCCTTCTGGGAGAACTGCTTTGTATCCACTTGTCAGTTTACTTTATATATTCATCTTAATAAAATTCTGAATGATTCATCATTCATCATAAAAAAAAAAAAATGAGATACCTCTCGTGAGATGTCTAAGGTAAAAAAAAAAAAAAAAAAATTGTCCATAGTTGGGTCCTATATGCTACATCTATTTATTGCTCTAACATTTTGCTACCAAAAACCATGAAACAAGGAAGCTGACATGATATAGGTGCTTCACATGGTGACTTCTGAAATTGAATTTCTGGAATATAGGTAAGTATCAAGATTTGTGCAATACATGGACATGAAACAGGGTAAGAAATCACCAAATTGATGAACATGCAGCAGCAGCGGCAGCACATTTAGACCTTGGTTGTCTCGATTTGCATTATCATGCAAATCGATTCAACTATCTGGCTCTCATACTAATCAACACATCTTAGTTAAGCTTTATCCCAACTTTTTGGGATTGGCTATATGAAACATTCTTCTTGTTATATTATGTTTAGTGTCATATCTCAATGAATGCCCTAGTATGAACTTGGAAAAACAAGTCATTCCCAGGTTTGGAATTGCAAGGAATAGATCCCCCAAGCCCAGGAATATCCTTTAGAAGGTCCATAAAGCCATTAGACTATTAGAGTTCCTTCAAAGTTCAAAACTTTCACGTTAACAACTTAACATTGATGATCCTCTCAACTCTAAAAGGGAAGAGAATCCAAATGGTTAGGTAGGCACCTCTTATCTTCCCCAGCATAAAGATCAACTTCAATGCTTTGATAGGGGGTAATGGAGATGTTGCTACAGAAGTCATAGTAAGAATGTCAGTGCTGCAGTTTGTGGATTGCAAGCAAGATTTCTAGGACAAGTTATGAATGCTTTTTTGAGGATCAATACCATCTGGTTAGGAGACTGTTGAAAATCTAATTGAGAAGAATTCAATTTCATGAAAAATCCACCCAATCTTCGAGGATACTTGGAGGACTGGTTGCAATAGTTACACAGGACAAGATTTCTTACAGGTATACTGAAAGAAATCAAGCAGCTAATATGATTGCCAACAGATGTCAGGAAGCCCAGGAAGATACCCAAGTTAATTAGGAATATTGTGGGCCTCTTAGTCATAAGATTCTTGTGGATATTTGAGGTTGTTCAACCCCTGTCTTTTGTATCACTTTCTTTATAATAGGGAAAAAAAAGTATAGATTGTTCTGGACACTAGTGAAAGAAGTATGGAATAATGGAAGTAAATGGAACTTTCCAGTGATTGGCCTTTGCTCATGACTATTTTCCATAAAAGAGACAGATGACCTTAGTATTATGTCAAATTTTTATCCATCTAAAACTGAAATACCCTCCTTTTTTAATGTTCGAATGAATGAAGTATTTTTCACTTTCTTAGCAAATGCTAGTTCCATCTAGATCAAGAAATGGACCTTTTTCTGCTAATGATATTTGTTTCATGACTTTTTCCCGGTAATACTGATCCATGACATCCTGTCAGATTTTCACACCATTTGTTCCCAACTTGTGACATTATTGGAGGTTTAGCTTCATTATTTAATGCATATGGTAAATTGAAGTCCATAGTAATATGATGTTTTTCCTCTTGTATTTTCCATTTGTGTGTATTTATTCTTTTAAGACTGAAGTTTTATGCATATCTAAAAGTTTTGATGATTTCAAGAGATTTATGCATCATGTTTGATTATTATTTCTTTATTTCTCAGAATGGTTTATTGAATCCAGGTAATATCGTTTTCTTTCTTGCTTGTAGATACCAGTGTTAATTTAAAGTTTTTATTTGCAAGCTGAAGCTTCACATTCAAGTTGCGTTCAGATTCTGATATTTGTAAAGAGCAGAAAAGAACTATAAGATCTATTATTATATATGCTGTTTACTTGACTATCCAGTCGCACTAGAAGGTCCTCATTCTGTCCTTGATTTAACTTGAATAACTTTGATAGGAGTTGTTCTTGTTAGAAAGCTAAGAAAGCTGCCTAAAAGAAAGTGCTGGTTCGTTGGGTTTTCCCGTGGAGACAGCATAGAGAAAGCCAATAAATTCAATGAAAGCTGGCAAACGGAGTTGAGCATTGGCCAACATGATTGTCGTGATTACACCAATGGTAACTAAGATCCTTTTCAAGTCTCAATTTGATATTGTAAAAAGAACAAGTTGGAACTAATCAGTGGAAGGCTTCAATGGATTCAATGTTTGTGTTTCTAACTTTTGTTTTCACTTGAAGGGTTGGTTGAACATCTCACTGGTGAGAAACACGTTTTGGATCGTCTAAGAACAAGTTCAGATGGTTGATTTTGCTATTGTTTACTAGAAACTATTTTGTAATTGATGCCGCCAGCTGCAAACATATGTATCCAGTACCCCTCTCAATGTGTTGTGTATATCAATGGATACATATGTATATGTATATTTAGCTATCATGAAAAGTTACTTGTACACCTCAGAGATGAATATCATTTGTTTGAGTAAATGATGCCTATCCAAAATAAATTTTCCATGAACCTACATTAATCTGAGAAAAAAGACAGGTATATTGGTCAATAGAAACCAAAATCCCATTCACCAACTTTTCTCTCTCAAAATCCTAAAAACAAATGGGCCCTAGTGTATAGTTTTTTGTGGTGGAAATCTAGTCCATTCAAGAACAAGATCAAACAAATCCCTTTTTAAACTCAGCAGTAGAATAAAAGGCTATGGTAAAGCTTAAGTGGCAGTGGATATGGATGTGTATCCAACCGGCAATGTACACTGCAAAAAGTAAACAGTACATATACTATGGTTCTTTTTGATCTCCTTCAGCTTGTTCTTTGGTTCAAAGAATAGTCTTTTAGCCTAATGAAGGTAAGAGATTCTGTTTGCTAAGTACGTTTGTATGAAAGATGCAGTATTAATTTGTCTAAGAGTTTTCTCAGTTAGGTTGTTTTATGACTAGAGTTCATATAAGAAGACGCATTTGTTTAAATACATGGAGAAGATTGAGCATGCAAAGAAGTATCTGCTCAGGTGTTCCATTAAGTGGTCTCACTCCTCTCTGTTCCGTCTTTTATCTCTCCGTCGTTATTATCAGAGGATCACGATCCAATGTTAGGAGTAAAATGAGAAGCAAACAGAGGCGCTACGAACAGTATAGACAGTGATCATGACAAAAGCGTAATACTCTTGCGGTTTTGCCATATCTAGTATTGAATTTAATTGATGAGATGGTTGTGACCAATTAGTAATGCTGATTTTTGGTGTTCCCCCATAGAGATGATTTTATGGTGGCTCACAGAAAAAATAATACTCTGAGAAGTTAAGCTATATAATAGCTAATTAAGAGATTAGATTGGCACCCATTCAACGTAAACCGAAGTTATTTTATCTTTAGCAGTTGTGAGATTTTTCACCTCAAATTTTTTTTCTTTTTTGATAATTGGGACTCAATTTTCCAGCAAATGTATTGATCCTAAAAAAACTTAAATTAGATTTCCGCTTCGAATGGCACAGAGAAGAATAGAGGATGGCTCAAAAGGGATATTAGTTGTTTCATTAGTAGGATTTGATGTCAGTATTGAATTTTATCTCTCCATATTTAACGAATAAAATGAGTTTGGCGCCTTAGTTCCTCTTTTATGAATAATTGTTTTTCACTTCACTCCATATTTCCCCATTCCAAATGAATATTTTTAATACAATTTCTCGTGTAACCAGGTAATGCAAATGCAGAAAAACCACATTGTTTCGACTCATTGGAAAGTTGCAACAGAGCGAATAATTTATCAATGAAAATATAGTTCGGAAAAAGAACAAATCAAAGAAGACAATAAAAACAAATGCTACCTAACGAGAGATACTATCTTTAAAAAAGAGAATAGAAAAAATCAGATGAAGGGGGATTTGGGCTCAGTGGAAGGAGAAGTCGTTTGATTGGCGAAAGGCTCACGGCGAGATTTTTCAGGTCTCGTCCACTGCCCATAACACCCTGTGTCTTAACCTCATCATCGCACCAAATCCTTTTTTCTGTATACTCTTCGCGCACCATTAAATCACCCCATCACAGATCCAGAAAACCAACTAAAAGAAGCACAATCTGCTATAAATAGCACTTGAATATGATAAGATAGACGAATAAAACGTGGCATGTAGTACAAAGCACAAAAAAAAAGAAAGTTAAACAACGATTAATCGATGAAAGCATAAAACCTAATGCAAGAGAAAGTGGAATAAGTAATAAGGATCGAAGAGATGACGGGAAAAATGGTAGATTAGGCTTCAGCGTGTGTAACAATCAGATCATTGACAAATTTATCTCACTGAAATCCGCTAAGATAATGAGATTTCATCATAAGCCCCTTCCATCTAACCTTCCGCCCTTGTATAAAATTTTTTAACAGACCAAAATGAGAATGCAAAACTGAGAACCAAAAAAGATTAAAACAGAAAAAATGTACAAAATCAACCTAAATATAGAATGATAGAAGACAGAATGAGAATTAAGAACTTGGGACAGAGGACGAGGACGACGACAAAGTACACAGGAAAACACCGTCGCAACTCTTAACACTAGTTCCCTAGCTGTGTTCGGTGTGACCTATTTCTCCGATAAAGGCACTATCCATATTTATAAACGGAGAAACTAGGGTTAGGGTTATGAGCAGGAGAAAGCGTAATTGCTATGACTTAACATTCCGAAATTAGCCCCGCTCTCTTGACGAAGAGTCGAAGACGAAGAGAAGAGCAGATGCGCGATGGAGAGGATTTCCTTTGGATATTCTCAATGCACGGTCAGATGCTACGTCTTTGTTTGCAGGATATCACGTCTTTGTTTCATTAGTAGGATTTGATGTCAGTCCTTTCAGCAAAGATCGAGGTAAGAGATAAATTCCTAATTTTAACTAAATTAATAGTCTAGTCTCTAATAAATAACCATAGTTTAATCTCCAATAATTATAGAGAATTTATAGTGAAAATACACAATTATTGAAAATAAATTTATAATGAAAATACAAAAAATAACTAATAAATAAACAATGAATACAATAATTATGAAAATACAACAAATACCAAAAATACATTAAATTAGTCAATAAATAGTGTAATATCCAATAATAGTTTAATCTCTAACAAATATTAATCAATAAATTATAACAAAAATACAATAAATCCAATAAATATAATAAATTAAATTTAAAAGCTAAATAATGATATTTTAATCTCCAATAATTATTGAAAACTTTTTGTTAAATAAAAAACAAAAATATATTTATACATAATTGTTAAATAATATTTATCACAAATACAATAACTAATTTCTGAAAATACACTAAATATTAGTTTTAGTATATACACACATATAATAAATATAGATAAATATTTTAAAATTACTATTAATAAATATTATTTTTTTGAAATTTAATACATAATTTAATTATTTAATCTATTTTTAATTAATATTCAAATATGATTTAGCTATTAATTTTTTTATATTTAACATATTTAAAAATTAGTTATTTACAATATTATTTAGTTATTCAAATAATGTCATTATTTATATTTTTAAAATATTAAATATTTATTGAATTTAATATTTTGTAAAATTATAGTTTATACTATAATTATATAATTTCGTTATATTATTAATTCAAATATTATGAAATCTATTGTAATTACTTTTATACTTGTAGGAATTTTTTTAAATTTAATACATAATTTCTTTGTTTTAACTATTTAAAATTTAGTTATGTTAAATATTTCATTAATTAAAATATTTAGTTATTTAAATATTTAAATAATATGTAAAATATTTAAAATTTTTTATTTCAATTTTATTTATTTTAAAGTTGTTATGTAATATTCAATATTATGTTATATAATTATTTAGCATTTTTTTATATTTTTATTTAAAGTATTTAGTTATTGAAATATTGAAATATTATTTTTTAGTTTTAAATTGCTATTATGTGAATAACGTTTAAAAATGATTTTTTATATATAATAAATATATTTTAAAGTTATTACATAATTTCATTATAATATACGAATAATTGTTAAAGTTTTTAATTCAAACTTTCTTTAGATAGATAAAGATAAAGATCAAAAGTGGGAGAGGATAAATAGGAATTAGAGATAATTTAGGGGAAGGTGGGGGATAGTGCTGCCACTTGGCTAGATATTATAAAACCAAATATCTCTTTCTTTCCTTGATAAATAACTCCCTTACCACGTGGCTTAATGGGTGGGCTGCATAGGGAAGAAGAGGGGGGGTTAACTATGGCTATTGGGTATTGAGACAGTTTCTGGACACGTTCTGTGGGGCCCAACAACATAGGCTATTGAGACAGTTTCTGGACACGTTCTGTGCAACTCACCTATTAATGGCCATATTTTGGTTTTTAGTAAAAAAAAATTAAGATGTATTTACTAATTTGCCCATTCTTAGGGTAACATGACATTTTCAGAAATTCCCTCAACAGTATAGGCTATTGGCCCCCAACAACTAAAGTTTAGGGGTAATGTGTGTGTGTGTGTGCGTATACACTAGTGGGGACCTGTGCGATGCACGAGATTTGTTAAGCGAAAGCTAAAGAATAGAAATACATAAGAGTATATAAATTTTATATTTTAACTTTTTAATAATCAATCCAATCGAACTTGACCCAAGTTTGTCGATTTTCTAGTATTTTCGATCGGCTTTGGTTCAACAATTTTCCAATTCAACCAAGTTAGGTCAGTTTCGGTTTGGCCATTTGTAAACCGACCAAAATTGAACCAACCCAACCATAGATATATATTAACATTTTATATTTTAAAAATAATTTTTTAATATAGGAAAGTGGGAAAATTCCCATATTTCTTAATTTAAAATATTTTATATCATAAATTAAATTTTTTAATAATACCACTGTAATTTATTAAAATTAAATTAAATTTTTAAGTTTAAATCTTTTGAACAAACAAACCAAACCAAAAATAGACCCAAACTAATACAACACGAGTTGGCGGCTGGGTTTTCACTTATGGTTAGTCGGTTTTGGCTGACAAACTCCCAACCTCACCAAGTCGATTTGGTTGGCGAAACAACTTGCAACCAAAATGAACTAATCATTAAACACTGATAATTTCAGCTAAATTAATAGTCTAATCTCTAATAAATAACAATAGTTTAATCTCCAATAATTATTGAATATTTATACAAACAATACACGATTATTGAAAATAAAGTTCTAAGGAAAATATAGTAGATATCTAATAAAAATACAATAATTGCAAAAATACAATAAATACTAAAAATATATTAAAGTAGTTAATAAATAGTTTAATATCAAATAATAGTTTAATCTCTAATAAATATCAATCAATAAATTATAAGAAATACATAATTAGTAAAAGTAAATTTATAACAAAAAATACAATAAATTAAATTTCAAAAGTTAAATAATAGTTGTTTAATCTCCAATAATTATTCATAATTTTTTGTTAAATAAAAAAAAACAAAAATAGATTTATAAATAATTATTGAAAACATATTTATCAAAAAATACAATAAAACATTTCTAAAAATACAATAAATAATAATTTTAGTATATATATAAATATATAATGAATATAAACTATTATTGTAAAATTATTAGTAATAAATATTTACTTTTTTGAAAGTTATTTTCTATATTTATTAATTGATATAAGTTAAACTAGTTATTTACAATATGATTTAGTTATTTAAATAATATTTTTATTTAAAATTTTAAAATATTAATCATTTATTGAATTTAATAATCCATAAAATTATATTTAGTACTGTTATTACATAATTAGTTATTAATTTTGTAAAATATTAACTTATTATTAATATGAACATTACAAATCTATTATAATTATTTTCTACTTTTAATAATTTTTTTAAATTTATTACATAAATTTTTTATTTTAACTATTTAAAATTTATTCATGTTAAATATTTCATTATTTAAATATTTAAATAATATGTAAAATATTTAAAAATTTTCATTATTTGAATTTTATTTATTATATTGTTTTTACGTAATATTATATATTTTGTTATATAATTATTTATCTATTTTTAATGTTTTGTTATTTAAGATATTTAGTTATTGAAATATTTGAATAATGTTTTATTTTTTAATGTTAAATTTTTATTAGTTGAATAACATTTGAATTTAATAATTCATTAAATTATAATTTATATAAAATTATTAATAATATGAATATTATTAAATCTATTATAATTAATTTTCGTGTTTTGAATAAATATTTTAAAGTTATTTTATAATTTTATAATAATATTTAAATAATTCTAAAATGTTTTAATTGAAACTTTCTGATGTAGATAAAAAGTGCGAGAGTTGATAAATAGGAATTAGAGATAGTTTAGGAGAGAATATCTCTTCTAAATTAGAGATAATTTAAGAGATAAATAGGAGTTAGAGATAATTTAGTAGATAAATAGGAATTAGAGACAATTTAGGAGAAAGTGGTGCCACATTAAAAAAGCAAATCCCTATTTCTTTATGTTATTTCCTTATTGGTTTAATGGGTAATTATGTGGAATTAAAAAAAATAAAAATTCAAAAAAGGGAAATGAGGGATAGTGATGTGGATTTTGCTATATCTATTTCTATATCCATATCTATCTATCTATACATATCAAAACAAGGAAGTCTAGAAATTTTCTTCTTTTTTTGAATTTTTTATTTTTTTAATTTCATGTCATTTTAGAAACAACCAATGAGATGCACTTTTCTAATAACCTAGATAATCTCCTAAACTACCTCCCCCACTATCCCCCACATTCTCCAAAATTATTTAGTATAGAGTTTCTCTCCTAAATTATCTCTAATTCCTATTTATCCTCTTCCCTACTTTTTATCTATCTCTATATAAAGAAAGTTTGGATTAAAAAAATTATGAATTATTTAAATATTCTAACAAAATTATATAAAAGCTTTAAAATATTTATTAAAAACACAAAATAATTTTATATTTTTACAAAATATATCACAACATTTATGTACTAACAAATTTAAATGTTTTTCAAATATTTAATAATATGTAAAAGCTTTAAATAAATAAAATTCAAATAACAAAAAAATTTAAATATTTTATAGATTATTTAAATATTTAAATAACTAAATATTTATCATAACTAGATTTTAAATAGTTAAAATAATGAAATTATTTAATAAGTTTATTCGAAGTAGAAAAATAATTATAACATAATATTGAAATTAATAATAATTTAATATATCACAAAATTAACTACCTCACCCACTATCCTCCGCTTTCTCCAAAGTTATCTCTAATTCCTATTTATCTCCAAAATTATCTCTAACTTAGTAAAGAGTTTCTCTCCTAAATTATCTCTAATTACTATTTATGCTCTCCCCTACTTTTTATCTATATCTATCTAAAAAAAGTTTGG